AATCAAATTAAGATGAGGTTGCACTGGATTACAATGGCTTTAAGGCAGTGATGGGTATCCTGACAAGAGAGGAGAGACCGCTGGAGACAAGAGCACAGATGGCCACTTGAAGACGATGCTGGATGGGGCGATGGAGCTCTCAGTCAAGGAGCACCAGGGATTACCAGGAACCACCAGGAGCTTGAAGAAGCAGGAAGGAGCCTCCTCTACAGGCTTCAGAAAGGGTGTGGCCTTGCTGACACCTTGATTTCAGATGTCTGGGCTCCAGAGGCAGCCTCAGGAAGCTCATACACTCACACAACCCCTATATGCGTGCGCACAGACATGCACACACGCTTAAAGACATCCTTTCTCTGCAGCAACATTCAGTGAGCGTTTCCTGTGTGTGTGCAAGGCCCTGTACTGGGTATTGGATCAGCAGTGGGAGGTTCTGGGCTTTCTCAGAGCTGGGCTTCTGGGGTGGGGCAGTGGCCCATCTGTCCCCACTCTCACCATCCAGAAGCACACGAAGACCTGCAGGTGACGGTGCACACCAGAGAGGGCCCTGGCTCCAGAGGCATGGGTGGGAGGCGACAGTCAGGTGAGGAAATGGCTAGGGGTGAGGAGGAGGGAGTCTGAGGCTTGCCCTGGGCAGGCAGGTCTAGCAGCCCCACACCAGGCACCTGGAGCCAACGTGTGTTCACACACACATACCAGGCAGGGGAAGGCAGGGGCTGGCTGGGGCTTCCCTGTGGGTCCCTCCTCTGGAGCTAGCTGAAGTCAGGCCTCACAGTTCCTGTGGCCTGAGCTGTGGCCTTGGGGGATAGCACACAGAGGCAGACTTACAGAGGAGGAAACAATCCAGCTCAGGCCTGGTTGGAGGACAATTGGGAGTGGGTGGTAGGAAGCCTCTGGAAGGACAGGCTGGGGCCTGGATGGGAGGGAGGACAGTCCACTCTGCATGCCTAAGTGTCTAGACACCGGGTCTGAGGACCATGCACCACCAGGCTGCGGGGACAAGAAGTTTGCTGATTCTCTCAGAGCCAGGATCAGGGGCCGAAGCCGAAACGGGGCTGTTTTGCCTCCTGTCCTAGTAGCCCCCATCCCTCAGGCTTTTTCTCCATCAGTCAGTGGAAATGCTCATTTGCAGCACTGAGGGACGGTCCTTCACAGATCTCAGTCCCTACCCCCTACTGTAGTCCCCTTTCCCGTCCAACAATCGGGTGAACTCTTCGGGAGCAAACTGGGAAGGCAGCTGGGCCTCTAAGCCTGTTGGGGTGCGCCTGCAAGACAGCTGGGGCCAGGATTGGGGAGTTGAAAGGAGAGAGAGCCATGGCAGAGCCTAAAGCAGAGAGATGAATGAGGGAGCCATGGCAGGTTCTAGACCAGGGGCGTCGCCCAAAG